TATGAGTTCCTTCATTATACTCGTGGGTCGAAGGTACCAATACCAGCCCACTGGATTCTGTTTGTAGGATGATAGTTGTCTTTGTGACACTTACTGTTATGCATGTATTTGGTTGTTGTCTTTGTGACTCTTGCTGATGTGACTGTATGCTTAGCTGTAGGGGGTGAAATAGACCATATACCGGTTGAAAGAGACCGAAGGGTTAAATAGACCCAATACCGGTTGAAAGAGACCGAAGGGGGTGAAATAGACCCAGTACCGGTTGAAAGAGACCGAAGGGGGTGAAATAGATCCAGTTATGTTTTGACTGTTATGTATGTATGGTAGGGGTATTTTAGGGAACTCACTAAGCTTTGTGCTTACGGTTTATGTTTAAAATGTTTTCAGGTACTTCTGGTTTCAAAAGGAAGGGCCCAACTTGATAGCACTACAACCTGGAGATATATTCTACATTGACTATTCTTTATTTTACTCTGATGTTTTGAAAATACTTTTATTATGATTGCCTTTTGGGGATAATGAATGAAGGGTTTTGAATTATTTAAAATGAAATTTTTACTTAGAAATTTTGGGACATTACAAGTTGTTGGTCAAGGAGATCGTTGTAGCCAGTGATCCATTTCGGGAAGGTCGATGAACTAATCAAGAGGTGGTTAGCTCGATTGGGTCGAGCATTGGTTGTTGAAGGATTTGTCAGCTCGATGTATAAATTGCTACCTATAGTCTAAGATAAGCAGTGGTTGATCTGTCAATTAACTTCAGGGTTGGGTGTATATAGTTGTGTATAGGTTTAATTAAGTGGAAAAACATTAGATTACTCACTTGTTTTTAGTGCATCCTCGATCGTTGGTTATTCTCGTTCATTTTCAATAGTTGGGATGCTTCGAAGGTGTCGAGTCGCATAAGTTGGAGGTTAGTGGACGTGACAACCTATCGTCATGTTCTGTTTATGGTATATCATGGCTTCTGGGTATGTTTGCCCTAAATTGTTGGATTGTGGAATTATTGTCTAGAGTAGACCCGGGTTTGATTTGGTAGTAAGTAGAGCAATGAAGTGAGTATCTATTTGTTTCAAATTGTGAGTCTTTTGGGTTCCTTGTCATCAGTTGGGATTGTAAAAGGATGTGGAATTGTATCAAGGGAAGGTACTTTGGATACGACAATCTTTGTCGAGAGTAGTAAAGTTCTTCATCTGGTGTGGGGTGTGGGCACCCGATATCCTTTGATCATGGGATCTTAGTCCAGTAAGATCAATGTGGTGGTGGTTGAGTAGATGAATCCAAGTGAGGGATGGTCACTTAGGATTGTCGGGGATAGTTCCAAGTGCGAGCCATTTTAGAATTTGAACCCATGTTAGGGACTTGGATTGGTATATCTGGAGGGAGCACCAGGGTTCTTTGAGGTTGGGAAGAATCCAAGATAGGTTAGGATTGTGAGTGTAGAGCAAACTACCGTTTGGTCGGCGAGGCCTTGAACGGATAATAAGGTGGTGCGAGTAAGATATTGTTTGATTAATGATTAACTGGGAAGGCTAGTCAACATCGTATCATCCTAAGTCAACTAGAGAGAGCCAGTTCTGGTTACGAGAGGGTTTAGGGTTAAGCAAGGAATAGGGTTCTTTGGTCAGTGGTGAGAATCAGAGGAAATGATATGGATTTATGGCTAGGTTCGGTTTGAGGGTTGTGTTAGGACCTCTCTACATGTTCTTTTCTGATGAAGCCTTTAGGGTCTGAAGCACGACTCGAACAGCTGATAGATTCTGGTAGGATGAGGTTTTGACTTGCAGTGTTTTCGGTTAGTATGTAATTATGGAAGTGATGTAAGACTTCGGAGCAGCCGTAGCATTCACCAGGTTAGTATGCGGTTATGGGAGTGATGTAAGATTACGGGGCAACCATAGCATTCACTAGGATAGGATGCGGTTGTGGAAGTGTTGTAAGACTGCGGAGCAGTCGTAGCATTCACTAGGTGGGTAAGCGGTTGTAACAGTGATGGAAGTCTATGACTTGGCTCATGACATTCTCTAGGATGATTTAGATCATCGCAGGTTTGGGCGAAGGGTTATGAGTGGGCCTCTACATTTGTAATATTTGGGAAAATTGTAGGCTGGGTTGGGGCAGAATGTGATGTGAGAACTCGGTTCGGTTTGTAGCCATCACTGGGGTAAAGAGGATTTGGTGATCGTTCATGCATTGGTTAGTTAAGTTGTCCTTCATCGGGAGTGAATGACTGATGGAGTCAGGGCGTATATGTTTCGGGTATCCGTAAATTTTTTCAGGACGAATAATTTTGTGTTGGTCGGATTATGAAGTTGAGTCATCGTGGGAACAGTTTGGAATGGTTCTGTCTGTCTGGGAGTCAGACATCGATCAGGTTTTTTAGTTTCAGGCATAGCGGTTGGACACTCGTTAGCTTAGGGAAAAGTTGAGGTTCATGCATTGTTTGGGCTTGTGATTTCTATTAATTTGGGTTCGACAACAATAAGGGTGGGCGGTCGTCAGAGTGAGATGACTTATCTATCCTTATTTGGATTTCTGGGAGTTTAGACAAGATCGTTTGGTTTGGCAAAGGAGATAGTAAGGAATGATTTTGAGGATGAAATCTAATTTAAGCGGGGGAGAGTTGTAACACCCTGTTTTGGGATCAATCTATGATTCAGGGCCGTGAGCCGGAAGTCGATTGTGTAAAGGATTTGGGCCTTAAGGAGGCGAAGTTTAGTCCTTGTAGAAGGAGGTAATGATGGTTGTGAGATCTTAACCTTTGAATTGTGTTTTGGGCCGAAGGGAAAAAGGGGAAAATCAGGGGCTGGGGTGTTGCATGAAAAATGGATTTTTGTTCGAGAAGTTTTTAGTCCAAGATATCTAGACAATATTATGGGGCTTTTAAATATATTTATGTGGATATAAAGATCATTGAAATTGGAGTTAGAACGAAGAAGTTATGATCGTTTGAAGTTTGGACGGTTTTTGGTTAAGCCACGTACGTTGGGCGTACTAAACAAGAAGGATCGTGGGGGATCAACCTGGTATGTTAGGCGTACGAGGAGTTCGCTGCGCGTATACGATCAGAACCCAAACCCTAATTTGAGGGTGTTGAGCTCTATTTAAACTCCTTAACTTCCCCAAACCCTTTCCATTATCAGCCTCCACCTCTCCAACTTCCTCCTATGAAGCCCTAACCCTAGTTTTAGCCTTGTGAGCTAAAGGAGTTTTTGAATGCTTTGGAGTGTGCTTGGTGAATCTTTGAGAAGAAGGAACTCATTAGAGAAGTATTGGTTGCATTGGAGCTTGTAGATCTAGACCTTGTTCACCTTGATATTTCTTCTGGAGCTATAAATGTTGAATCTTGATGATGTATTTGTTAGATTTAGCTAGTTTTGGGTGTTATGAGCTTTTGGTCCTTTAGTGTATAAAGTTTAAATCTTGAAAGTTTGTGACCTTGTAATGGATAAAGTTGGAAACTTTATCCATCTAAACATCATATTAGTTCAGATCTAAAGGTTGGAGTCTTGGACTTAATGGATTAAGTTGAAAAAGATGCACTTTTGGTCCTTTTGAGACTTAAAAACTAGATCTTGCTGGTTTGGACCATTCTAATGGATAAATTTGGAAACTTTATCCATTATGGAGCTATAAGTAACCATAAAAATGTGATCTTGGTCCTTCTATCCCTTCCATGCAAGAGTTATGATGTCTTAATGGATTAATAAGTTAGGGTTTTGGCTTTTGGACATTTTCTAAGCATGGAAAGTCATAAAGGTGGGAACTTTATGACTTAAAATGATGTTATGGGTCTAGATCTGAGTGTCGGATGAAAGGACTTAAGAGAATAAGTAATTAATGGAAAAGTGTCATCTGACCGAGTACGTTGGGCGTACCTTTGAGTACGCCATGCGTACTCGTGTGGAGTGTCGTTTCTGGATGGTGAGTACGCCATGCGTACGAGTTGCGTACACTGAGCGTACTCAGCTTGAAGTTTGACTTCTTGACTTGTGGATTTTGACTTCCATTGACCGTTGACTTTTTGACCAAGTTTGACCTTGGGTCAAACTTGAGGATTTTGGCTATTAATTAAGATTTTATCTGGTTCTGGTGTTAATGGATTCGCGGGTGCAAGCAGTGCCTAAAAGGGATCGTATCCTAGTGTTTCAGAGTTCTTTGATTCAGGTGAGTCTTCTCACTGTGCTCGTGGGTCGAAGGCACCAATGTCGGCCCACTAAATTGTGTATGTAGGATGCTTGATGTCCTTGTGACACTTGTATGCTTGTCCGTGTGGTAGTATATACGTGATGACCAGCTGGGTCTTATTGTTGTTACTGTGATATTTGATAGTGAGTGTGTTGAGACTTCGAGTAGTCTCCAGGGTTGTTGATAACCCATAAGGCGTGCTGTTTGCCAACTGAGACTTCGCGTAGTCTCCGGAGTTGCTGATAACTCATAGTTGTTTATTTGTGATGTGTTGTGTGTGGTATTTTGGGGAACTCACTAAGTTTTATGCTTACAATTTGTGGTTTAAATGTTTTCAGGTTTTCTTATATTAAAGGATGGGCACGACTCGACTGCATCGCGTCAATAGGAGACTTATGTACATAATAACTTTTGTCGATACTCTGATAAATGTTTTAAGATTAAATGGTCCTATTTAAGATTTTGTAGTTGTGATTTGAATAAACACTTAAATTTTAATTGAAATTTTTGGATTGAAATTTGGGTCGTTATAAGTTGGTATCAGAGTCTTGGTTTGAGGGATTCGGGCATACTCTCGGGTGTGTCTGAACTCAAACTAAGAAATTAGCAAAATTTTCTAAAAGAAAATGATTTTCTAAAAAGGTTTTTAAAATAAATGGGAGTGCGATACGTGCAATCAACGGAGTTCAAATAAGGATTTTCCAAAATACTCATACGTGTTTTTTATTAACGTTTGATGCGAGTATATGAGAATTATAGAACACAAGGAAATAACTTGAAATAGCTTATACATTGTTTGATGAATATTTGTCTCTATATGAATTGTGATTATATCTCCTGTAAGTTTCAACAACTAGTTATGTTTTTCAAAGTTTTGATGGATTAAGACTTCTATTTTAATTTAAAGATTGTTTTATCTTTAAAGAGATGTTTTTATACGATTTCAAATTGTACGTAAACCCTTTATTAATTTACGGTAACATAAACCGGAAAAATAACAGCAGCCCGCTCACATTATTACTTTCGGGAATCCACCACCGCTCGTGCACTAACTCCACATTTCATGCAAACCAAGTTCAAACTGGATTCGTTGGCAGATAGATGACATAATGACAATCACACCTTAATCAAAAAGATATTCTACCTTTCGCCTGTTGTAAATAATCTCGAGCAGTATTCTAATATCTTTAACGCTATGCTCACGAACTTCACAATCAGTTTCCCAAGATTCACATAGAAAGAAAGTATCGGGCTTATGAACGGAACTATAAATATACAGTAAGCCTTCAACAATACTTGCACTATGAAATGTTGACTCCGAAAGAACCCTACAATGAGAACAGATTTAGCATTCGATGTTAACATAAATACATAATCATGAAAAACTCGACAGCGTGTAGTCATTCACGCATGAGGTTAACTTACATTCGGTAGCCTCTGGAAAAGCATCAAATAACGAAGTCACAATCTTCAACAGAATCTGCATTCACAAATCGCAATAAAAACAAAGCCTAAAGGCTAAGAATACGTATATATTACTGCACGAGTGTGTTTAAGATCAGTAGTACGTAAGCGCTTACCAGGAACAAATCTCCTGGTTTGATTGGGGACTCAACGAAAACTTGTGCTTTCCTGCATGTAGTTTTTAGTTTTCAAGATCATCAAGTTGGCCATAATATTCTGGTTTATGAACATGATTAGAATATATATACCTGATCATTAATCTTTCTCCTTCTCTTGTTAATCTGTAGAGACTACAGCCTCTCGAAAAGGGCACCTGCCTGTTCTTCCACTCTGTGGGACACCATTAAAACGTTAACTCGTCTAATAAAAATGAACAGATTATATACTGAACGTACCCAGATGCCAATTGACACCAGCTGTTAGATCATCGTCATCTTCATAAATATGAGCAACATGAAACTCGACGTTTTGGCCCATTCCCGTGATTAGCTGCTCAAGAAAACGTAGAACCTCCTGCAAATAGTTTTAATATTGCCTTATTGTATCCAGTTTGCTTTAATTAGTAATTAGAATATGAAAAAAAAATATATGACCTTTTTGCCTTTGAATGGATTGGAAAACGAATAGTCTTCGAAGAAGCAATCGTTTGAAATGTAGTTTTCTAGTTGCTTTATATTCTTTTCATTTATGCATTTGTAGAACTGTGTTATTGTATCTGATGGTGTAGGATCTTGCTCAATAATTGAATTAGTGATAGTCGATGACATGATTTTCTTGAGATTGTGGGTTCTGTAGCGTATGTTTTCATCCTTCTTCTTCTTCATGCACAGCTGCATTGTGTGTTTATCGATTTGTTGCCTATACATTGGAAGGAAAAGACCGAGAGCTGATATTGGCTTTCTGCAGGTTGCCATTTTGAGGGGAAAACGAACTTGCAGTTCTTGGTAATATTTGATATGTGCATAATTAAGATCGGTATTGAACTCTTGATAGACAATAGCTTACTTGGATTAAAAGAAAGGAAGCAAATTCAACTTGTAATTGTGGATTAGATTTGGATCTCTAGAGCCTTTATCCTGTGTGTGTTTCTTGTGGTATAATTAAGGAATCAATACTTTGGTTCTCAACACATCTTACTATTTTAGATAGAATGTGACTATTTGAGTTTACTTTTTTTACGATGTTTTAAAGTTATATTACATATTTGATATATGAATATATAACATCTTGTAAACCTATTTATATATATAAATAAGGGGAATATTATAGGACAAATCCATAAATCTCATATTTTTTTTTAATTTGTGGGCACAAGGTTTAATTATATTTGGCATAAAATTCATTTGTGGGATTAACTAGAGTAGACCACTTCAAAAATTAAGAATGCCCCACTCGCCGCTACTAACACAAATATAATTTTAATTCTTGTTACAACTAATTTTATGGGATAATACAAATAATAACCATTTTTCGAATTTTATTTAACAGGTTGACATCTTTAAGAGATATAGCTTGAAAATATGACATCAATTTTCAAACATACATTACTAGTTGCGAACTATTTTTATGATAAAACCTGTTTCGAAACTTACTTATACACCGATAAGTTATGAACTAACATTATGAGTAAGTTAACTCTGTTTATTGTGCTGCTTCCCTACTTTCATGTCGCAATTTTCTTTAGATTTCTCAAATTGTATATTTTTACTCATTATGGTAACAAAAAATGGTCCATGTTAAGAGCATTATTTTGGGATTTTGATAAAACCATGTAAACACTTTTATCGAATTTTGAAGATCAATTTCGAAACATTGTTTTTCCAACAAAAAACGTTGTGAAACTTTCGAAGAAGTTGAGTAGTTTGGGAACTTTGAAAATGAGTAATGGTGCAATTTGTTCGTGTGTGAGAGTGTCATATCAATTTCTTGTTAACAATTAAGAAGGTCAAAGACTCGGTAAGCATGGATGTGACTTTTATCAAATTTTAGCGACCTTTAAGCATTCATAGTTTGCAGGTTGCTTGTGCTTACGAGCTACAATCACCTGAATTGCAAGCGGTTTGTGCTTATGGCCAACTAAGTACTAATCCAACCAACATGAAGATGACATGTAGGATCAGGAAGATCATGGTAAGTCCATGAAACAACTTAATTGACTAAATAATACCATATACTTATAAAAACTAAGAAAGAAACAAAAGAATAATTATTTAATTATAAAACAAATATAAGAAAACAAAAATGTGTTTCCACTAAAAAGGCCACCTGAGAATTGTTGTGACCGAAAACAATAACTAAGTTATAAAAATTCACTCTGTCAATAAAATAAAATAATAAACATTAAATCGTGTGAAGAGGCAAAATATATTTGGTTAATTATATTCAATAGTGATACAGAGTATATATACACGATTGACACATAATAGATGAAAATAAATCTAAGTACCTAACTAGATATTTACAAGGAGACTAACTATAATCCAGAATTGGTTGAAGAGATAAATACAAGATAATTTATGTTCTAATACACCTCCACAAGATAGAGGTTCCACTGGAAACTCCAAGCTTGGATCAAAACTTTTCGAATAGATCTTTGCCCAATGGTTTCATGAATACCTCAGCGATTTGAAGCTTCGTGGAAATCTAACTTACTTTAAGCTATTGGCCCAATTTTTTAGCCGTTAGTATTTATATATTAACTGATATGTTAAATATTATATTTAGGATAGTTCCAGATCACGTGGTAACGCGCGTAATTTCATTCCGGTTTTAGTTACGTTCGAATCTTAGTGCATGCCTTTTGTTTTTTCTTAATTTTATGCACTTTATTTTAGGAAGGAATCGCTATATCTCATTTCAATTAAATATTTACATCTTTTGCCCCTGTACTTTCTGAAAATACACATTTACCCCCTTCCGTTTCTTACTTTGCATTTATTCGAATTTTGTTTAATTTCTTTTTATTTCTTTTATGGTATTTAACCCTTGAATTAATTTAAATATCAAAGAAACTCTTATAATACCTTATTTTTTCATATGTTTACAGTTAAGAAAATTTAACTATTTATAATTACATATAATATTTAATGGAACATTCACTTCTTTTTAGTACCGGTACACTATTAGGATGATTTTATCATCAAAATCTCTATATTTTCAATTAAATAAAAATATCATTCTATTATGTTATTTCTCCAGCTATCTATACTTTCTTTTTATTTGTAAACATACAGACGTTTATTAAATAATACTTAAAATTACATACTAAAGTCATAGTTTCTAACAATATCAATTAAAATATACACCTACTTTATACAAATTATTTCCTTTAATTTTATATTTTTATTTTTATGTTTAACATAAGAATATATTTAAATAAATACATTATATAATGCATATTACCTAATTTAGTTGGATAGTGATATTAATTCATTGAAGTGTTTGGGTTCACGTTTATCATTGACACTTGTTTTTTAAAATTTAACCATAATAGATTTATTGTATAGTCGGTTTAAAAAAATTAGTTATCTAGTTTATATCTTAATAGTAACTTCTTTACAAAACTTAAATTAGAATTGGTGGTCATACGGATTTTTAGTAATTGGGGGCTTTTATTTTATTTTTGCATCGGGCCCGAAAATTGTTTGGGACGACCTTGTGAGCAACGAAAGTACAATAGTACCTTTAATATAGTGTAGCATAGGGATGAGCATCGGAACTAAGTATCCGCTTTTGAAACCGGAACCGCCTCGTAACTGCCGGTTTAGAATATGTGTGTGTTATTTAGACCGGTTTAGAATATATTTGTCTGATTGTGTCCATCTTTGGTCTGAATGGATTCGATTTGGACCGAACTAAATTGCGGTTTTATCGACAAAAGTTAACAAAATTAATGTGACCGGGTTACCCGCTCCTAGAACCGGAACCGTTGGTTCCGGGACTGGTTCCAAAAATTTAAGAACTACCTAGATCGGTTCCGGTTCCAATCTTAACTTTCTAGTAACCGCCGGTTCCGGTTCTCACCAAATGAGGCGGGTACCCGTCTATGCTCATCCCTAGTGTAGCAAATGTTTAACAACTTGCCAGTGAGCATCAGTAGGAGAGTGCATAAATTGAGAGAGATGATTTACCGTAAATGATAAGTCAGGGTGTGTAAATGCAAGATATTGTAGAAGTCCTAGTCCCCCATGATATTGTTTAGAATCCGTGAGACTTAAACCAGACGTAAGATGTAAGGGTGACGCAGAGCTCGTTGGTGTAACTGATTCTTTTGCACCCGTCATTCAACATGTCTCCAAAATGTGAAGAATATATTGTCTTTGAGAGAGAAATAAACCATTTGTATGAGGAATAACTGTTATGCAAAGAAAATGGTGGAGAACTCCTAAATCTTTAACCGAAAACTTGGATGTGAGTTGATGTACAAATTTGAAAACCGCAACTTATGAATTTCCTGTGAAGACAATATTGTCTACATAAACAAGAAAGTAGATAAGGATGTCACCATGGGCATAAATGAACAGGTGTTGTCTGCTCTGGATTTACGAAAACCAACTGATAGTAGAAATCATGAGAGCTCCAAATACCACGCACGAAGTACCTGTTTGAGTCCATACAATGTCTTGCGTAGTCGACATACATGTGTGGGGTGATGAGAATCCACAAACCAACGGGGTTGAGTCATATAAACTTCTTCAGTAAGAGAACCATGCATAAACACATTATTTACATCCAATTGACGAAGATCCCAGTTGAGAAGAGAGAGAGAGAGAGAGAGAGAGAGAGAGAGAGAGAGAGTAATATGTATGGTGGCGAGTTTTGAGACTGAACCGAAGGTTTCAAAATAATCCCTCCCTGGTTGTTGAAATCCACGAGATACTAAACGAGCTTTAAATCGGTTCACACTTCCATCGGGATTTCGTATAATCCGAAATAACCATATACAAGATACGGGTGTTCCCAGTGTGAGGAACTAACTCCCATTTGTTGAGAGAGTGTTCTAAATTTTGAACTAGTTTTTCATAAAATTATGTTCGAAGCTCGTAATTGAGTTCGAAAATTTCGATTTTCTAGAAAAATAAATTTTAAACTTGGTTCACGTAGGTACAAATGGAGTTCACAAAAGTAATTAGACAAAGCACCATATTTTTTTTATTGTTGGTCGTGGCTTGTGATTTACTAATTGTGTAAACTAAAACTGATGTGGTATGTTTAGAATCCACTTTTTAGAATTTAAAAGGATTAATTTAGGTGTTGTTTGTTTTTTTGAAGCGAAAATTCATGAAGTCTGCGGACCACCTCAGCAATCCTCTGTAGCAGAAGAGATGGAACAAACGGCTGCAGCCCATAATAAGAAGCATGTTTGTTTTTTAACATCTGCAGACTGCTGCAGTAAACTGAAATTTAAATAAACTAATTTATAAACTGAAAATAGTTCTCAACACCGAAATTTTAATAATTCTATTCTTAAAACATTGAAAGAGTACTAAAATATCATGTAAAAAAACAAAAATATAAAACTTTTTAAATAAAACTTACAAAAATATAAAATAAGCTAACAACTTATTCTAGAAAAAAACTAATTTTAAAAAACATAAAAAAGAAAATAATAAAAAAAATTAAGAAAATATTGCAAACGATGTCTACAAAGTTCGTAAAAAATTACACACGTTAAAAAAGATGAAACTGAAACTGAAAATATTATTAACAGAAACGGTAAAAAAATTAAAAAAATCAAAGATTTTTTTTTTTTTTAAAATCAAGTTAAAAAAATTTGTGGAAACTATAATAAGAAATTGTATCAAATCCGTAAATAAAAGTTAAAAAAAAAAAAGTTTTAAAAAAATAAGTTATACCAAAATTCTAAAAAAAAACACTTCAAAAAAATGAAACCTGAAGAGGTTTGAAGAGACAAGTCAAGTGTTGCGCCACGCAGCACACGCGCAGAGGTTTTGTAGTCTGAAGTATTCCAAAAAACAAACTGCTGCGAGAGAGAAAGTGTTGCGCGTGTGCTGCGCCGCGCAGCAGAAAGTGGTTTGAAAAAGTTTTTTAAAAAAAAACAAACAACACCTTACATTGCAAAACCGACTTACAATTGACGGAGGTGTGAATTTGTTTAAAAAAAAGTTGGATAGAGAGGAAGTAATAACTATAAAAACTTAGATGGCTCATTGGAGTCGATCTTCGAGTGTCGGTGGGGTAGTTGGACCCGTATCAATCATGGTTTTTTTTTCCATCATGTATTTTACGTGATTTTTACAATTTATTTCATCCTTTTTTAATATATTTTACAATCACATATTGTTCCACCTTCTTATCTCTCATATTCGATTCATATTTAACGCCTCGTTCCCGAGTTTAACAAAAAAAAAAGAGAAGAGAAAAGAAAGTCATGAGAGAAAAGAAGAGAAAGGAAAGGAAAACAAAATTCTCATTTGTGTTACCGAGTTAGAGAGAAGTGGAAGGAAAATGAATCATTTTGTTCTTTCTTTCCGAATCCTCCCAAATCGGAAGGAAAGTTAGGAGGGAAAGTGATCCTCCCATTTCTCTCAATTTCCTTCCACTTCCCTCCTTTAATGAAACTCGGGAACACCAATCTCTTTTATTTTCTTCTCATTTCCACCAATTTCCTTTCCTTTCTCTTGTTAAGTTCAACTCGGGAACGGGGTGTAACAAAATCAGAAGATCTTATCAAAACACGTAACTTTTAATTAGGAAAAAACTGCAATACATTTTTACATCCTGTCTACTCATATTAAAACATTTTACAAGGCCAATTGTTAAAGGGAAATGAACTTAATAAGGTAATTAACTTTTCGGTTTGTTCACATCTGGGTAACTATCTTTTTTTTGTACACATCTAGGTAACGAACTTTTTGAAAGTGTTCACATATGACCATTATGACCGGCTGTAGCAGGTTACATCTGATCATAACCGGTCATAATGGTCATATGTGAACACTTCCAAAAAGTTCGTTACCTAGATGTGTACAAAAAAAGATAGTTACCCAGATGTGAACAAACAGAAAAGGTAAGAGTAAATTACACGAATGGTCCCTGTAGTTTGGGTAATTTGTGCGTCTGGTCCCTAACTTATTTTTTAACTCGGATGATCCCTACTGTTTATTTTTGTTGTGCGTTTGGTCCTTGTCTTACCTCAAAAGACTATTGTGCCATTTTTTAATTTATTTTTTAATTAATTTTCTTATTTATGTATTTATTTTTTATATATTTTAAAAAATTAGTAGACCCCACATATTTGTATCTCCTCACGCTAAACCTGAAACCACATTCGAGAAATTTAAGCTTGGTCCCACCAGTCACCATTCTATCTGTCATCCTCCTCAACTTCTCTTTCATTTCCATCTTTAATGATATCAACGTCTTCACTATCCATTCTTTTCTCGATCCTTCAACTCCAGCGAACCAACACAATAACCCTTCTATTGGGTTGTGGTGGTGGAAAATTCAATGAAGAGACAGTGGGTCGTGGGGTTGGTTCGTCGAAGTTGAAGGACCGAAAAAATAAGGGATGATGAAGACGTCAATATCACTAAAGATGGAAAGGAAATATAAGTTGAGGATGATGAGAGATGGGATGGTGACTAGTGGGACCCAACTTAAATTTCTCAAATGTGGTTTCAGGTTTAGGGTGAGGAGATGCAGATATGTGGGGTCTATTAATTTTGTTTAATATATAAAAAATAAATACATAAATAAGAAAAAAATTAAAAAAATAAATTAAAAAGGGCACAATAGTCTTTTGAGGTAGGACAGGGACCAAACGCACAACAAAAATAAAGAGTAGGGATCATCCAAGTTAAAAAATAAGTTAGGGACCAAACACACAAATTACCCAAACTACAGGGACCATTCGTGTATTTTACTCTTACTTTTTCGGTTTGTTCACATCTGGGTAACTATCTTTTTTTTGTACACATCTAGGTAACGAACTTTTTGGAAGTGTTCACATATGACCATTATGACTGGTTATCACCGGACGTAACCTGCTACAGCCGGTCATAATGGTCATATGTGAACACTTCCAAAAAGTTCGTTACCTAGATGTGTACAAAAAAAAGATTGTTACCTAGATGTGAACAAACCGAAAAATTAATTACCTTATTAAGTCCATTTCCCATTGTTAAACAAATCATATATGCCGACAAAATCAGATACTTGATTACCAAAATTGCAAGATACAAATGTTAAATTTTGAAACTGGGTTATAACTCGTATAATACACGGTTGATAAATTAAAATAACATAGATAATAATTGTAACAAAAATATTTTAAACAAATTTATAAAAGGGCATTTATAGAAAAAAAAAAAAGAAGATAGGAGATTATTTATAATTGATTAATTATTTCTATCAACGATTATTCATAATTGATTACCAAACATTTTTTTATTTCCAAAACCTCTATTAATAATTTTAATTTAAGGATTTGAAAGAAGATTTAAATTTAAATGTAAAATCATAGAAAAATATGTCTCATTTTTAGAAAGTGAGAAAAGAAATTATAAATTATAAAAAAATAAATAAATAACATGTGGCAAAATTTATATTTTTTTATTAGAAGAGCTTGAAAAGAAAACTCCATAGTGAAATTTCTATTATTATTATTATTATTATTATTATTATATTTGAATATATTCATCTTTTAAAAAGATCAAAATTTCTATTATTTTGTATTTTCATATCTTCATCTTTTTGATAAAAAAAAAATTATATTTTTATCCTTGTATTTTCATATCCTCATCTTTTAAAAGGATCAAAATTTCTCTATTTTTATCATTTGTATTTTCATATCCCCTACACTTTGAAGCAATATGCGTGTTTCATACCTAACTAAGGCCTCGTTTGATACACATCTTTCCAGGTCCAAACAAATCTTTCTAGCTGAATGGACCGGAAAGATTGATTGATTTGCAAAAAAAAGAGGTCTTTCCCGGTAAGATATGTCTTTCCCAGAAAACCCCAAAATCATATCTTTCTGGCTGAATGGGTTGGAAAGACAATTATGCATCAAACCCTGCCTCTTTCTTTCTTTCTTGGATTATTAATTTTTTTTAAATAACTTTTTTTTAAAAATTTATTTTTTATTGAATTATTACTTTTTTTCATCATTTAGCACAGTCAATCAGATGTACAGTCAAACAACATGATTTCATTCCCGGTCAGAAAACTTTCCCAGACAGCACTTTTCCAGACATAAACTATCAAACGGGACCTAAGTTTTTACTTTTTATTTCAATCAAACCATCTTTTGGTATTTGTTGTTCAGTTTTCCTTCCTACCATACTTGAAATGACTATATTACCCTTATTTTATTATTTTCTATTTTCTTTTTATTTTATAATAACCTTTGGCAGGGTCATTCAACCAAATAAAGACATTGAATTAGCACATTAGTGACCATGAACTTACTCCTACTCTTTTCTTCAATTTTGACATGTAAATAGTTGGTGTCTTAATACATTAAGCCGTTTTTTTGGCTTAACCCATAAAATCATCATATCCTGATTAAGCAAAAAAGAAACAACCATGATTAAGTGCTTAATCAAAAAGAAACAAATCACCTATGAAATCATCAGTGTTCATCTATTAAGATTCAGAACTTAATGAGAGTCATACAAGTCATCAAAAACTAAACATAAACCATATCATCCATCACTTTTGTTCCTTCTAACATTTTCATAACAACCAATCACATAAATCATTCCCAATTTAAAACAACAAAACATGCATTAAAAAAAAATCAAAATTCTGTATTGAATAAAAAAACTATTCAGAAGTTTTTACCTGTTGCCATTCACCATCAAGAGCTTCTTTCCACAACGTGACATTATTGTCCCCAGAAGCAACAGCCAAAAGATTCCCAGTTAGCGACCACGACACTCTCCAAACAGGGGCTTTAAAGTCATTTAACACCTTCCCTTTCCACTCCTCACCTTCTTTCCCACCCACACTCCATATCACAACACTCCCATCTTGTGAAGCACTTGCAATTGTGCTCTTTGGAAGCCCTAAATTTGGGGCCCACGCCACATCCCTTACAATATCACCATGCATTTTAAGGGTAGGAATGGAATCCAATTTCCATTCTCCATTAACAAAATTCCATATCTTCACAATGTTGTCATTTCCACCTGATGCTAACTTCTGAACAGGGTCAAACACACCAGACCCGATTAAAGATCCGGGTGTCATTGATGGGGCCCACGTGACAGTTGTCACGCCAACAGGGTGAGCTTGGTCAATCTTTGTGGTGTCCCACCCACCGTCTGACCTGGCAGTGTGGACTGAAATGTCCCCATCAGAGGACCCACAAGCTAAACAGAGACCAAGTTCATGTGGGGCCCACGCGATTGAGTTTACAGATGATTTGTGGTTATTAAAGGTGTGAGCAAGTGTCCAGTCGTTTAAGTTGCCTTCTTTCCAGATTATTACAGTGCCATCGTATGAACATGATGCAAGAAGTGACCCGAATTTGGGGTGGGCCCATGCAACCTGCCAGACTGGACCATTGTGACCTGTCAATGTGGCAAGGGGGTGTGAGGTGTCGGTGGTGGTGGTGGTGGTGGTGGTGACACTGATTATCTTGATGGTGGCATCAGAGGAGGCGGATGCTACTCGTTTTCCATAGTAATCCATACAGACATCATGGATTATGTCTGTATGACCTGTTTCAATCTTCTGCCCAGGCATGATCTGTTGAAATTGAAGAAGATTTGGATCATTGGATGTGAAAACAAATTGAAGAATTCATATAACCACTAAGTTTGATAGAAGAATAGGTTTAGTGTTATGAGGAAATTGAATGTTCCCAATCTGCTCAAGGATATGGTTGAGAGAAGAGTGTAAATTTAATCATCAAATTTTTCCCAAATTCAAATTTTTGAAAAAGGCGTTTATAATCAGGACGCTGTTCTTCCCCAATTCCTAAGAATTCATATGCTGCTACACAATTATATACGAAACAAAACTTCTAATCTACGAAATTTCATACCGAGGCAATTAAACATTTCTCAATTCATAGATTCACATAATTGCATTGAATCTCGCATACGCGAACTCAAACATATGTAATTGAAGAGGTGTGAAATGTTAGAGATGTATGTATAGACGGATTCAAAGATAGAGAAATCTGTGCAATTTTAATGGCCAAAGGATCGTACAACTTTCAAGTTACGAACAGATCTGAACATATATATAGATAGAAAGACATGTAAACTTAGGAATATACAGATCTAAACATGTATAATTTCAACGATACAAGAAAGATCGATCGTGGGAGAGTACCTTTGAAGAAGACGAACTGAAGTTGCAGATGGATTCGGATCGAGCGAGGTAGGTGATTCGCAGCTGTTTCGTGCCGATGTGAGCGACGAGAAGGTTTCATTCAAAGAGAAAAATATGTTCCTGTTTCGATTCGGATCCGGGTTATATCCGTAGAGGCTAAACAAGTCACCTGTTTTTTCGTTACATGTAAAACATAGGCTCCTAAAATATAAAAATGAAAATGAGATATATATACTTTTGTTAAACATGAAAATATTGTATTTGTCCGGCTTAATTTCTAAATATTGTATTTTTTCTTTATAAACTTTTAAAATATCATATTTACTCAAATATTATTTTTAATAGATTTTTTATATTTTATAAAGATTTTTATAATATTTTGTAATTATTCTTTATATTTTAAAATTATTATAATATTTCTATCACATTTCAATAACTTTATTATATATATATATATATATATATATATATATATATATATATATATATATATATATATATATACAACGCTCGTAAGTTAGGGCTAGATATTTTAAGTGATAATTATTCATTTTATTAAATAAAAAAACTCACGAATAAAATAATTGTTCGTCGTACACGTTGCGTACTATATAAATATTTATTATATATACGTTATGCGGACAAATATTAGGGGGATATTAGGACCTCTAAACAGGTCCGGTCCAAGGTCCACCAATTTCTGCAAACCTAATTTGGTCCAAGAGACGGTCTGGTCCAGTTCGGTCCAAATATACATCCCTACAATCGTAGTAGATAAACTAACATTCGGTATGCTTCAACGAGTTGTATCATATGCACTTAAAGTTGTACCAGTCCAACGGATACACGAATGGCCCAAATGGGTTTTTGGGAGTACGCCCTACATACTTCCTATTACATCCAACGTACCGCTTGATCTCGAAAGGGTTACGGGGCCACAACCCACTACGCTCAGCGTACTTAGGGATTACGCCCAACGTAACCACCTGATGCCCAAACTCTTAATTAAGTTATTAATGCTTAAAGACCTAACGTCCAAACTTCAGATCTAACCCTAATGAACGTCTAAAAACATAAAGTTGCAACCTTTATGCCTTTGCATGGCTACAAGGAGTCCAAAATCCAACCTAAGTCTTATTCATGACCCAAAAGCTTAATAGATCTAGCATGGCTGAATAGAAAAGACCAAGATCCCATTTTTATGAATCACAAAGCTCTGAAATGAAGAGAAACACTCTTCATCACGTCTGGAGTTGCTCAAACTCCCAAGATCTAAGACTATGAGACTAAAATGAATAAACTTTAACAACTAGCTAAATCTAAGGAAACATGCATCAAGTCCAGAACATTATACCTTTTGCAGGTTGCTAGGAAGGTGCAAATCCCAGATCTACAAATGTTTGTAGCTTCCAAGTGCACTCCAAAGATCTTCTTCCTTCAAGAATGGACACACAACACACAAAAAGCTCAAAACTTTACTAAAGATAAAATAAAATGTTTGTAGCTTCCAAGTGCAAAAACTTGACCAGAAAATCGCTATTAGAAAAAGTTATATATTGATAGTTCATTAAAACATTATGCAAGCTGTTCTTAGATAAAATAAAATTTATACAGGAGATTAAACAAAAGTTGCACGAGATGTTCGATGATTTTGAAAGCTTGATTGCTTATTTAGTGAATCCAGTTGAGATTGCTAATTGATAATGGCACCTTGTTGCTATGGGATCATCATAAAAAAATAGAATATTCTTATTTTAATGAAGATTAAGGTTGTGTTTGGCGCGTCACAACGAACTTATTTTTCGAAATTTTTTAAGTTGTTATGTTTGGCAAGAAGCTAGCTTTTTAAAAAACTACTTAGACTAGTTTTTTAGAAACTTTTTTAAAATTTTCCAAATATACCCTTAATTAATTATAGAAACACATTTAAATGTCCATTTATGTCATTTTATATCTTTCAGCTAGTTTTATCAAATGTTGTTTTTTATCAGCTAGTTTTTCAGTTAGTACACCACCTAAAGTTTGATTTGAAGATTTTTGTTAAATCGTATAAGATAAACATAGAGTCTCATATAAACTCTTTAAAAGAACATTTATAGAGAGAGGAGGCTTCAGCATATATATATATATATATATATATATATATATATATATATATATATATATAGTCACTTGTAGAATTATGTCGCACCGATGTGGGATACACTAACACTCTCCTTAGAGACAGATGCTCGATGAGGATAGACATGGATGTGTCAAGTCACACGGTTTTAGACGTCGGCTTTGATATCATGTAAGATATAGAGTAAATTACACGAATCGTCCCTCGTGCAGGTGTCAAAAGACACGTTTAGTCCCTATTTTCAAAAATTAACTCGGACCGTCCCTCATTTGGGTGAAACCTGCACGTTTCATCCCTCGTTAGTTTTAATCGACACGCTTCATCCCTTTTCAGACATGAAAAGACTATACTGCCCTTGTATATTATTATTTTTAATTAATTTATTATTTAACTATTATTTATATCTTTTAAAATAAAGATGGTCCTACCTAGACACCTACCACCCTTGGCCTTCGTTCATGTTCCAGATCTACTTTTTTGGATTGAATACTTACAAACAATTTCAAAGCATGTATAGCAAGATCGAGCGCTTTTATTTGGATCATCATCGGAGGAATTGATTCACGACCCTGTTTCCCCAAATCTGGCATCGTGTCCCCCCAAATTGTGTTTTAAATCTCTAAACCGAATGTGCAAACACATGACGAGTTCCAGATCTGGTTTTTCCGATTGGATAGTGGATACTGTCAGATAATTTGATCCCACGTATAGCGGAATCGAATGCCTTTTTTGGATCATCACCGGAAGACATTGATTCACGATTTCAACCCTAGTTTCTTACTAGAAGCTCTAGATTTCGTTTTCGAATTCAGTTTTGGAATTTTCGTCGGAGATGAAGGTTTAGCAACCGGAGATTCATTCGATTGATTCGACTGATTTGTTTTCTTGTTGTCATCAACTGTTACAACGGTTACTGATTGTTCCTTCTCCTCATTTTTTACTTTGATGTTTGAAAGATCACCTCAAGCAAATTGGTGTTGATTTCTTACAGGGCCGATTTTAGGTTTGAGGATATCATCTTGAAAATCGATGCTGATATAGGTTTTAGATTAGGATTTTCTATTTATTACAGTTAGATTTTGGTTTGTTTTGGTTCCAGATTTTAGAAAATTGGTATTGATTTCATCTTCGTTTAAGCTTTAGATTATGGTTTTAGTATTAGTTTTTAGATTGTGGTTCTAGTTTCAGATTTGGTAGTTGAAGGAGGCAACAATGGTGAATGCAGGAGATGTCGGTGGTGGTGTCGAAATGTATTCGATGGTGGTTTGGTAGAGGACTGTTTCAAAAGAGAGAATGAGAGGACGATGAGGAACGATGGACAAAAGGAGGTGGGACCACAAATATTTAATATCTTTTAAAATAATTATATAATTAAATTAAAGGCAATATAAATAAATTAAAACATTAAAAGAAATTATTAAGGCAATATAGTCATTTTATGTCTGGAGGATCAAACGTGCAAGTTTCACCCAAATGATGGACGGTCCGAGTTAATTTTTGAAAATAGGGACTAAACGTGCCTTTTGGCACCTATACGAAGGACGATTCGTTTAATTTACTCTAAGATATATATGTAGAGTCTCATATTAACTCTCCAGCAGAGCCATTTTGGAGAAAAAGGGATTCCAACATATGTAGCCACTTATAGTATCATATTGATATGGGATAACTATTAATTGCTCGCCATATAGCTACTTCGATTTTCATAGCTCGTCGGTGGGACTTATATACACCTTCGTTTCCTATTGTCTTATATTTGGTTGTCTTAGCCTAATGTTTTTTTCACTCAACATGACACAAAATAAGTACTTTGAAGAAATGGTTTTCATAGTTTGGATATTTCTACTTTGTAATGACTTTTTTTTTTCTACTTTGTAATGACTACTCAACTCAATCTTTGATATTTCTACTTTGTAATGACTTTTTTTTTTCTAATATATTGCTATATTAATAGAATTAATGTATTCCAAAAATCATTGATTACATAGCTTAGTATTAATTATCCTCCACTCTAAGGTAATTTGATAATAGCAACACCAATATAGAGATACATTGTATGTTAAGAAAATATGGAATAATACTTAACAAATATACTTATATATGAGAGGGTATGAAGTTGAGTTGTTGAAATTGTGTCTATTACTAATTAGGTTGAGGGTTTAAGTCTTGTTTAGGACGAAAGATGTAGACTCACGGTATATTAGGAGATTTGTGAGTTAGTCGTTCTAAAAAAACAAATATAGTTGTACAATTTTTAGTAGAGGATACTTTGATGAGTATAATACGAAACTCAATGGATAAAATACCTTGTCTAATGTTTTCGAGAATTGAATTTTTTTTGTCAATGTTATGTGGTAGGCTTGCACATCCGACAAACATTCTACAGCAATAGCCAACTCTTTATGTATTTATTATGTATGACGTTCATATAAAATGATGGAGTCTGAAATTTGGATACGAGGATACATACATAGTCAAATTTTAAAATATATTTGTATGAAGTTGCTTAATATTCAAGTCGTACATCCCAAAATAAAAATATAAACAAAAATTACAATTGAATTCATTGAATATTTGTACAAAATTACTTAGTATTTGCACTGATTTCTGCAAATTTATATATGGTTGGATGTAATCATGAAATGGTCTGTGGGTTTTAATTAAATATCTTTATTTTATCTTGATTTACTTCTTTAATCTTGCTAAACTAATTTGTTTTATTAGATTGATTTAAGTGACGAATACTTCCAATAATGTAGTCTCTTCTTACCATGATCCTTAAACCTCGCTAAAGTCTTGGCTCTATCGTACAATGACGCAGTCTCTTCTTACCATGATCCTTAAATCACAATCCACCGCTCAGTCCATTTGGACGGCTCTTGAAGCACTTTTTCGAGACAACAAGCACTCTCGCGCCATCAAATTAGACAATGAGTTATGTGCTTTGGTTCAAGGAGATCGCTCTATCACCGAATGTTGTCAGAAGATGAATGACATTGCCGATTTGTTGGCAAATATTAACGCCCCGGTCCCGGACAAAACCCTTGTTACATACATGCTCAACGGTCTTTCTCCAAAGTTTGAGAACATCTCTATGCTTATCAGCCACAAGGACCCGCTTTCCTCCTTCCTCGAGGCTCGCTCAACCCTTGTCTCAGAAGAATTTTGTGTCAACCGCACTCATTCGTCTTCATCCATCCATTATGATCATGGTTCTGCACCTCAAGTACTCATAGCCAATAACGTCAAACCTTATTCTCAACGCCCCCAGCATAACCAATCATCTTCAAATCGGCAAACTAGAGACTTTTCCAACAATCGTCATTCTCAGTCGCCTAAACCCATCAATGCTCGCTACCCTCCTGCCCAATTGTGGTCCCCTTACTTCTACCCATGGGATGAAGATGGATGGCTGGCTCCTCCTCCGTGGGCTGTTCCTTACCCGTCGCAGAATCTACATCAACATCGCCGGCAGTCATCTGCGACCGATATTGAAACGTCCCAAAAATAAGACCCGAAAATTTCATTTTTGATTTAGTAAAATCAGTATTTCCAAAACATCATTGATACAAACCAAATAAAATAAATGTGTCAAACAACATATCAATCAGAGTGAATCAAAAAAAGTGGAACGAGGTGGTGTGTGCTCTGTAATCATCCCAAGCCCTTCCCCTTGGAACTGGAAGTACCTGAAACATAAACTAAAAACCGTAAACACAAAGCTTAGTAAGTTCCCCAAGATACTGCATACCAAACATATAACACATAAGGGGCCCCGCCCTTACTCGCATAATGGCCCCGCCCAATGAGTATAACGGGCCCCGCCTCAACTCGCATAACGAGCCCCACCCAATGAGTATAACGGGCCCCGCCCTAACTCGCATAACGGGCCCTGCCCACATACAATTCATACTACATAACAAGTAATAGCATACAGAATAATCACTAGGCCCAACCAGTAAGCATACAAGCACATACACATACTAGTGTCACACAGACAATAAGTATTCTAACATAACAGATCATGGGCCGGCATTGGTGCCTTCGAACCGCTAAACATGGTGAGGAAACTCACCTTGGACTGCTGAATCACACTGATAATCCCTGGCTATTGGTCCGACGAATCCCCGAGCTATCAATATCAAGTAACACCCAATTAACAAATGGAGTCAAATCTATATCCTTCAATCCAAACTTAGGGTAAAAAGACCATTTTACCCCTTACCTAGTTTGGTCCAAGACTAAGGCCCAAACTTTCAATCTAAAAAGCCCAAAAACCAATTAACCATCCAAGGCCCACATATGGCCCAATTTTCCAAATTGGGCCCCAAATCCCTACATGGGCCTTACCCTAAGGCCCACCAATTATTCTTGGTCCAAACTCTTACATTCAGATGGACCAAACATGCAAAGTTCACCAGACTAAGTACGCGGGGTGTACTCAACACGTACGTGCAATGTACTTGCTTGAAGGCTTGTACGCTAAGCATATCTACTTGTACACCCAACGTACTCTCCCATTCAGCCAAAACTTGATTTCAACCCTTAATCCCTTAAGACATATTCCCAAAACATAGATCTGACTTCCTTGAGCTAGAATATCACGTAAAGTTGCTAACTTTACATTCATGCATGGCTAAATGAAGCTCTTAAGCTTAAAAAGGACTTAATAATTGACTTAATGCATGCATGTGACCAAAAATCCCACAAAGCTTGCACCTTTATGCTTAAGTAGTCCATAACAAGCTCAAATCTAAAAGAACAAGCCCTTAAACATCTTAACTCTTCTATCAACCCAAAATGGGACCAAAAGCATAACAAAACAAACTATAAGGAGATCTAAACATTTACAAGCCAAGGTACGAACTTGATACCCCAAAGAGATTGCATCAAGTGAGATGATTCTGGATCTATGACCTTCCTTCCAAGCAAAGCACCTTCAATCTTCAAAGCTTCCTTCACAATGAGTAAAACAACCACTAAAATCCTCTCAAGGGCTCAAGAACACCACCAAGAAAGCTTAAGGGATGATTTAGGGTTTTAGGAGGTTTGGGGGCTGGTAAAGAGGCCAACCATAGGGTCTTAAGGTGTTTATATAGGGCGTAACACCGTAAATTAGGGTTTCAATATGTCTCACGTACGCCCCGTGTACATAAATGTATGCCCATCGTACGTGTCTGGAGTCCCGTCCCCACTTAGCATCAGTACGTTAAGCGTACCATTTGGTACACCCTGCGTACTCGATTTAGAGCTTGTACGCTAAGCGTACCATGTGGTACGCCCTGCGTACTGCCCAAGGACCAAAAATATAACTTTTATAATAACAAGGGAAATAAAGAAATATACCAAGATTCAAGTGTTACAATTCTCCCCCACTTGAATCAGACTTCGTTTTCGAAGTCCGCTGCCCCGAATAACTCCGGATAGTGCTCCTTCATCTCATCCTCGGGCTCCCAAGTCCACTTTGAACCCTTGCGGTGCTGCCATTGCACCTTCACTAACTCAACAACCTTGTTCCTCAGGGTTTTCGTCCTCCGATCCAGAATCGCTATCAGTCTCTTAATATAATTCAGGCAGTCATCCACCTGAA